ATTGGTAATAGAATTATCTGTGATGAATGAACTCTCTGCAATGCAAGCAGAAACGCTCTAGCCAACTATGGCAGGAGTCGAAGGAGAAACGACTCAACCAGCACTCAATGACATTCATAGAAATAAAAACAACACCCAAACAGCAGCTAAACCGAAAGACCTTCATAGACGATGGATACGTGGAAACGAAAGCAATGCAAGAAGTGCATGTGACCATATAGTACACGTGGACGTTGCTTATGTAATACTTAGCAAAAAATACTGGAGTAACAGGCTAATTTCACGATACATCGGAAAAGTTGTGAGAATGCCACGTCAATGAACTTCAGTGTGAAATACTAGGGCATCGGGGAAAAGAATACACTAATAGATCTCACCACAAATCTACCTACAGCCCATTAATGCTCAAGTTGGTCACTGTTTCATAGAATTTTCAAATAGAAACTGGATTTGGGTACCTCTCCCACCTATAGACAATCTATACTAAATAAAATAATAGGGCGAAATATAACATCAATGATGCTGAGATATTTGCAAAACTCCAGACCGCAGGTGTATGCGGCGGGGAACGAACGTACTATTGTCCCTTTCGGGAGTAACGCGTTCACCACCACACAATGCGGGTCCTTCGTTTCGCCTGTCTCTCAGCTAGTTCTATCGATCCTTGCCACAACAATCACCCATCAGCGGGATTGTTCTGGGGGCCCAAATCGGCAACGAACCCAGTTAAGTTTATCTCAGCATAATTGAAGTTATATTTCGCAATATACCCTGCCATTAAAAAAGAGTAGGCAGAAAATAATAAGTTAAAATAATAAGGTTTTCACGTAAAAATCCATTACTCAAAACCAATTTGAGGTGCATCCCTTCTTTATTGTTTTCCACCCGGTCGGAGTTGACAGGTCTTCATGCTATTTGAACTGTAGCCCACAGCAAAGAGTACATTTTTGCAGCAGTGTTTTCCGAGTTGACAAGAAGTCAGATTTCGTCCAGAAGCCCAAACAGCCATCCTGGTAGCAAACTAGTAGCAATATGGCAAATATTCGTCCGATGGTAACGAATTTAAGAACGTCCAGCTTCGATGCTTTCGAACGGTAAGAAAGTAAAAAAGCTCTCAACCAGCAAAAAACTGACCTCAATACTTCGCCCACTCAGGAAACATGCAAATGGTGTCGGTCGATGAGACAAACGCTGAGTGGCGATCGAATCATGAGTTGCACACAGCAATATTATAAGTGGATCAGAACAATGCAAAACAGAAGATCTGCACTGACATCAGTAGGAGAAACCGATCTTCGCATAGTCCTTGTGGTCAAAGGCCACGTAAAACTCCATGGGATCGCCGAACAATGGGCAAAGAACAAAACGACCGAAGGGAGCCAATTAGATGAGAGGATCTTGCCATTAACGAAGGAGAAATCCTATTATCTAATGTTGGTGATACAGCCTTTGTGGAACACCCATCATCTGTTACCTAACTACGGTCTCGTAGGAGATTTTATAATTGTGACTGGCCATTTTCCGTTTTCAACCATCTCCTTAGAGGAAGATCAGCAACATCAGCTGCTGTTCACCAACCTACGCAGCTAATAAGGATGAATTGTATAGGTCTCATAACTAGAGGCAATCCTTAACGAAAAGTCTCTTCCTAAATTTGCTCTAGGAACTTAAATTCCAGATCTGTTTAGCACGTTTTGAAACAGATATCGTAAAACCATGACACTTCACTATACTTTAGCAGTTTCCTAAAGCAGCTAAAACAAGGTGTTCGACTTTTCAAAACTGTATTGACCATTTCATGAGCATGGTTAGTTTTACGCCTAAGTACATTCAATATAGCACACTGTCATCTGGTTGCTTATGTCCACAAACAGTTTCGCTCACCTGTGCCTTTTGATCACAAGCGGTCTTGACAAGTAGCACCAGATGCCAAGGAGTGGCACCATACACCATGGACAACGCAATAATGTCGTTTTTGTCTATTAAATTTAGCACCACCGTAGCACTTTGGTTTGCTGCATTGTGCTCGAGTATTCGCTCGAATGATCGCAGGATTTGATTAGTCTTGCGCTCCTATACCCAAGTCTATCGATCGCTTTGGACGTCAGAACCGATACGGACTTTCACAAGAGCTTTCTCTGAGTTCGTCCAGCTCAGGCATGGTTCACGTCATACTCCTTATGCTATACCACTGCCCATCTGGATGCAGACTAGACATGAGCTATGATGTGACTTCTCGTTAGAAATGGCGTACCGTTCCCATGTCGAACATTGTTTTCCACCTATTGAGTCGCGTACACGGTGCTGTCATCCTCGAAGAAATCGAGCCGCAAGGCTGCAAGTTTTTCTCGAATTCACAAACGCCAGCAAATGCCAGAGATGGCGACATAGGAACGTCGTAGCCCGACAATCTCGGATTTCTAGAGCTAATCATGACCGACCGACATTCAACAAACTAGTGAGGGAAGACAACGCAACAACATGTTCCGGCCGAAAGCAAAGACTAACTCAACCATCTCTGTAATGAAAGATACAAGAGGACGAGAAGAACGAAAGCAGTACTGGAACTTGCACGAAATTCGAAAACAGGTCATCTGAGTACCAAACTAACTAAACATGCCACCTTCTTAACTTTCAGATGTTCTCCGGTCTACTCCTAACATGATCTGTTCAAGAAGCCCTCCCTTAGTTCTGTCCTCAGGAATACAAACATAAGGATGCCATGATACGAGCAAAACTTGGAACAAACGAAAGTAAAAGAAAAAAAAATAGGCAGTAAATAGAAGTCAGTGCATGAATAGAGTTCTCTTCCTTTATCAAACAAATCCTCCGGTGACCTCATCACCACAGATCAAGCCAGTTGTCCAGGTTCAAAGATATCCCAACCTCTATGCGCTAATTCTACAATTCCAGCAATATCTCAGCAGTGTGATACATACAATACTTATCTTGAGGTGGACAGCAAAAGAATTTTTCATCTCTTCAACAGCTTTCTGCTTCACCGACAGGTCCTTCTGTCGTCCGCATATGTCAGCCTCGTTCACGATGAGATCGCAGTGAGCTACAAAAATGCATAGATTCTGTACCACGATCTGTTGATGCTTTCTATAGCTGTCATCAGAACAAGTCCCCGTAGCAAAACGGCAGAACACTGCTCAACCGCCCACCACTGACCTCATCGTGATCAGCGTCATCCCACCCGTCGACCCACATTTCCACTCGTCGACGTGGAGGACCACAACAGATCTCCCATTTCACTCATTCATTGTCCTCCTGTTTACCTTCGTTGATATGATGGAAAAGCTGAGTTTCCTGATGATCAATAACGGAGCTGTGTTCACCGTCATTAGATATGGTTCAAGCGCATAAAAACAAACGATAAAGTTCTCGACTTTGACCAACCCTGAGGAATGCGCCATGTATTCGACTTCATTAAGTATCATTGGAGATGACCGAATGCATATCTGGCGTATACAATAACCCGCGGTGGCCTACCGATGTATTGAGCCAGTGTTGCTATCCTCCCAGACAAGTACGGCACCTATTTGTGATCCCGGAGGGATGGAAGCCTTGGTGGGCCATGGAGAGTCGATTCGACGTGTGTGTCGCAGTGGCGCTTCCAACCACTGCGCCACACGCGCCCATTTGTTCAGTGTTCAAGCGCATAAGATTTAACCCAGCAGCGTTTTCTCTACTGCGTTTTCCTTCGCAACGGCGAGGAATGCAAGGAATTGGAACTCGTTGGGAGTTCCTTTTTTCCAGCTCAGGAAGCTTAACACAACGTACGTTACGAATCCCAGCTTCGCCGTCTCACGTGTCCACCGCACAGAATTCGGTGGTATCATACCGAATATGCTGAGCGCTAAACATGTGGAGCCAATCTCAGAATGCAAAACTCATTTATAGGCAGGATATAAGTGTGATAAAAAAAAGAAACATAAAAGAATGAGGAGTGGTATGGTACGCAATTGCGGAATCCGCACCGTTTCCACGACATTGCTTTTGGAGAATTTTCTAATGCTATAGCTGCAACTCACTTTCATGAGGTTAGACCAGGTAGGTGGTCCTGTGCACTTCCACGGTCACTTCAGCTGCTAGAGTAATCCGGGTTGTCATTAGATTAACTTATGCTGCTCAATCTGGTGCGGTTTATTTCTTGTCGAGTGACAAGTGTGAACAGACTTATATGAATCGTTGCATTTCTTTACTTTCAAGTTTCTTGGTAGAGTAGCTGCTTGCGTAATCAGTAGGCTCATGCAAAGAATTCGCTTTCGTAGGTTTTTTAGAATACTTTAGACATGGTCTCCGTTTGGATTGCATGATTGCGTCGTTGTGATACAGATTTTAAAGGATATCTTCAAATGGCCTTCTTCTTTCAGGTCGATGTACCTCATGAAAGTTTCAATGTGCGGTTACATTTACCGTGGTTTTAGTAAGTACACCGCACTTTCAGTTGTAAGTTCTTAGTAGAACTTCTTGAAATAAAACTGTTATTTCGTTCCTGGGTGTCGAGCTGCGATGTACAGCGGGGGATTCATCCCCAGTAGGGCCTCCCGAGCTGAGAAAGACTCCGGATTTCCAACCAAGAAGCCTTGTTTAAGAGTAAACCAATATTAGGATCCACCACCGTCTTGGTATCAAACTAGTCGAATTGTGGCAAATTTCCCTCTGATCCACGAAGGCAGCATCTGCCTATGGTGGTGGCGATCTGGGGCAGACTTCGGCTAGGCTGACATCGGGTTTCCAGGGAATCACAATGACTGAACCAGCGAAACTCCGACAATTTTTTCTCATTATAATGTATGTATATGCTCGAAAAAAGCAAGTACGGAGCCATTTTCCTCTATGAACCTTGAAGAATTCCGTATATTTCGCCACCTACTATGCTCTACAGCCAATTTATTGTTCTGTATACAAAGTTGCTAAAAGGGGCTGTGCTTAAGATTTTTAATCAGGCTAGTAGCAAACTCTCGCACTCTACTGGACCATGTCCTTGAGGCTATAGTGTTACCTTTCCGCTCTTTCGTCATGGACAAGCAAGGTGGACCGGGACGAAAGTAGACAGAAGTGCGCCTTCGGATGATCTCAAATTTCCCTGGCCTATTCCGACGAATCCATCGCTGTTCTACAAAATAAGGTCGTACATAACTATTAGCTTAGTTGCATCTCTGTCGAAACTGCTCTTCATTGGAGGTGAGCGCATGTTTTGCTGCTTTAGTTCCGGATTAGTTGGGAACTTTGAATTATTTTTAGGTGCCAATAAACTGAATGTTCACAATAGGGAGCGGTTTCTTAGTGCGTGGGAAGATCGATCACGACCACTAATAACGGTGTCGAATCATAGGTCTAACATCGATGATCCTGTAATGTGGTGTAAGTGAATATGCGATGAAGCTTATTAAATATTTGATTCGCAACATTCCCGAAACAATGGTTGATCAGTTTGTATTAATCTTCTTTGAATAGCAATTGAGACTGGTATATTATATGTTCACCTGGGGGTGCGTCTGGCGCAGTGGTTGGGAGCGCCACTGCGACACACGTGGAATTGATCACCGCGCCCATGGCCCACCAGGCCTTCGATACCTCCGGGGTCAGCAAATTGGTACCAGATTTGTCTGGGAGGATATGAGCACTAGCTGCATACATCCGTAGGCAACCGCGAGTCAATGTAAAGGCCAGATATGCATTCAATCACCTCCAACGATACTTAGTGAAGTCGAATGCATGGCGAATCCCTAAGGGGTTGATCAACGCCGAGGGCTTTATCCCTTAGCTTTATACGTTTACCATTGCTTTCGTAAGTACTGGAAGCCTTTTCTTTAGCTTACAATCGTCACAGTTCTCTTCCCATTCGTCGTACAAATTATTTCTAGCCTTCACTACTTGTCGTGAAATGTGGAAAAATATTGATCGACATCGTTATATCTTAACGGCCCATAACATCTGCTTTACGAAGAAGATACATACCGCGTAAGTAAAAATGCTTCGTCTTTGAATGTGTTTCTTCCTTTTGTATGTACCCCGTTGGGCACTATGCTCAACAAATCCAGAATGTGGGTTATCGGGGTGCACAAAACATCATCGCACGAGTATCCATAAGTGGTGAAAAAGAATAAAAACACCATACTTTGCCATTTCTAGTACTGTTCTTCCGTAGTGAATGTGAGCAGCCTGTTGAGTGATAGCGTGTTACATATTTATGCTTACACTAGGACAGGCCATTTTCATGACTAGTCAGCCGGCACAGTTGTCATCCTTTTCTCTCCATCACAATCTCGTTGTCTTTGGTTTTTTCTGTTCTGAACACAACCTATGCGAGTATCATTCTGGTATCTATGAATAGATGGTAACTCTACCGTTCTAGTCGACATAGGTCGACATAGGTCGTGAACACGCCTGCCCACTCAGTCTTCCTGAACAAAGTTTGCTAGCTCTTAATATCCGCACTACATTCTCGTTCTTATGTCTTCATTCCTTTTCATCACATGCCGGCCATTTCCATGTTTCGCATTCGATTTTTGTCTGTATCTCGAAAATGAGATGAATTATCATGTACCGATATTGATTTATCTTAAAAGTCGTCGATGCGTATTTTTAACGTCTTTTTTCCACTTCTCTTAGTTGTACTCTGTATTTCACCCACAGTAAAACCCCGATACAATTGTAAGTTATGATTTCATATAACTGATCTATAAGAATAATACGTATCTTTAGGATGAATGGTCAAGTCCTCTTCATTAGACTTGTCAAGTTTCAAACTCTTGAGCTACTCCACTTATTAGAAGATGTTCGGTAATTATCAAGGAACCGACGTCGTTGATCCCGTTTAATAGGTGTTTATCGGTGTTCCCATGATTTTTATCGACGATCATGTCGAATTTGATATGTCCTCTGTCTCCCAAGGAGAGTGCGCAGATATGTGGAGACCCTTGTGGTGTTGATTGTGAATGATTGATGCACGTATTGTTTCCTATGGACATGTTTTCCATTTCGGTGGAGCATGGGCGTTCTTGGTCGTCACCGCATGCAATCGTCGGTAATTGTGGATTGCACGGAGATTTGTTATCTTGCAACTAGTCTGCTGCTACCGAACGGTGGAAATTCCTGGTGTCGCTATTTACTTTTATCATAGTTTCCATATGAAAATGTCGACGCCCTCGGCTTGGAGGGCCTTGTGGTATATAAGTTACCACTGTACGCTACCCTTGGATACCATAGAAAACTCCCATTCACAATTAGTGGCATGTGTTCACAATTAAAACAGTGGATAGCAGCATATTTAGTTATTGGCAGCTCCAAAGTTGTTCGATAAAATACAAATTTCGAAAACTGTGTTTTCTTTCGAATGTGGGTATCCAGTTTTAGTTCTGATGTACATAGAAGTCTGGTACTGAACAAAGAGCTCTTAACAAATAGACGACCTTGTTCTTCGATTTCAACGCACATTCCTTTAATTTGCAGGGATTAGTTTATTTGTTAGTGTTTGTTAAGTCTTTTACGTTCAGTGCTTTGCTTATCCGTCACAAATCTTATGTCAGACGTGGCTCATAAAAAGCTACTTTCTACAGTCAGCTATTTTTTAAAATACTTTTTCTGGTGAATTTTCCAATTTAAAGTTCAATTATTCAAGGCAAAATATTAAGCATAGTTTCACACAGTGGTCGCACAAAACTGGGAGTAGAGGCATGTGTTCAAATTATAAAGGAATAACATTCATGTGATTCAAACTCATTTTTACCTTCAGTCAGAGTAGCTACTCTTAGGTTTTTTGCACTTGGTCGATGCGTGCCTTGTGTACGAGGGAAAGGTGTTTATCAAAAGGGAGTGGATTTCTGCGTGGACAGATTGAATGAGAATGGTTGGGTACACATGTTTCCTGAAGGGCGCGTTACAGCGAATGCTCTACGGTGAGTCTTCCTTTATTTAAGTGTTAGCGTGAAATGTTATTTTTATTTCCCACATGAGGTTTTACGAAGATTTCTTGAAAATGCTGCAATTTTGTCCTAGCTTTAGGTTCAAATGGGGCGTGGGTCGTTTGATCATGGAGACCATTATTCCTCCAATGGTTATTCCTATCTGGTGCTCAAATATGGATAAGATTTGGTCTGAAAAACCGCCATACTATCCACGATATGGGCATGTGTGTTGATAGAGTTGAAAATAGTTCATAGTTCAGTATGTGCGTTGCTTTTTCAGACAGTTGACGTTCACATTGGTGAACCCATCGATTCGACGACTCTCCGACAAATTTCCTCTCAAAAACCTTGGAGCGAAAAGAGAAGAAGGAAGTTTATAACGGACGCTATTCAGAACGAACTTTTCAAATTGGGGGAAAGTGTCGGTAATTTACCTGAGGGGACCGCTCTGCGTATTCTAAGAGGAAACTGTGGTAATAATTTGTGATTAATGGTGCTCATTGCAAAGTGGGTGTTTTTAGATCAAAGTCTTTCCGTTGTTGCTAATTTGTTATGGTTCTTATAAAAGTTTTGTTAACTCGAGGTGTTTATACACATATATCTACACGTATATGTTTTATTTTGTTAAAAAATATATGGTGTTATGAGTAGTTCGTGGAAATCTATGCTCTTCACTTGACAGTTCAGGAGAAGCTGGCGATAATAAGGAGATCACAGAAAGACCTTTACTTGATCACTGAAATTCGACGCTTTGGGACATCTTTAACCTACGAGGAAGTGGTAAATCAGTAAGAGAGGACTTCAGAATGGCGCGAAACTCACAAAATATGCGCACATCAACGTCGACCTACATGGTTTGCCTTTAGAAACTTTAACGAGGTCTGGTTACTGTATCCTTTTAGTCATGTTTTAGACGCTGTGCTCAAAAGTATGTTGAAATATGTGCTGCACATTTTAAACATAAGTTGGTTTTACACTTCATCACCTGTCACATTCCGCTGACTCAAGCACGGTTGGTTATATAGCCATCGAGGGATCTTTACAAATTGGCTAGGAGAGGACTCGCTATCCAGCTTAGATGAACACTTCTGTCCGAACTGTGTCAAAGATCTTTTTAAGACGATGAAAACAGGAAAAAGAGGTCTCTCGTACTCTAGCGATGACAATTCAATTAGCTCTTCATCACATGGATGAGGTCCAGCGTATTGAGCTGTCCAAACCCTGCTTACCCACACGGCTATCCCCTGTCCAATGTTCAGTAAAGACTACCGAGAACGAGTCGATTTAATGGTTTGTAAACTATACACTGTAAGCATATTTGGCAGCAGTTGCCAAGACTGTTGGAAGTAAATTCCAAAATCTAGCTTCTGAAACTTCAACGCTATTACGGCAGGAACGACACTACAGTGTTCTTTATAAATGAGGCATCATGGCAGGCTTTGGGAAAGCATGATGACATGGCTGCCTTTTTGACGTAAAGCAGAGAAATGTGGACATGGTTGCCGATTAAATACTTACCTACTTGGGAACATGACACGTCTTCACTTGTAGTCCGACGTTAGAATAATTTTAGCTCGTTTCTCTCCCGCACAATCGTCGTCCGTTGTGCTGCCGAACAACTCTGCTGCGACCGCTCAGCCCATTACATAGTCTAAAATCTTTTCCATCTGCGAGTAAAGATGGTTGAAGTTGACAACGAATGGATGGATATCCAGAAGGACACTTGTATTTTCTTGGATTCTACTCCATTGTTCCTTTCATCCATCTATCATCTGCTCTTCTTATTATACGACCTCCCAATCTAGGTTTCTCTATAGATGTATATTCTTCTGAATCCCAAATTTGAGATAGGTTCCGAAGATCTGAGCTGCTCATTGACATCACATCTGAGCGGTTAGATGTTGACAGTGCCGGTAAAATACCAGAAGACATCGTTCAAGCGCTCTGTAGGTGATGTGCAGTATCGCTCACGTGGTTGAAGCACCATCCCACTTCTCTGCTGCTTATCAAAGCCCTGCGAGGACTGTCGAATCGAATAGCCAAGGGCGGAGTTTTCGACCTATTAGTTCGGTCGTTGAGTGCCTCGACTGCGACCCATTCTGCTCTCCTTCTTCTGTCTAATTCCTCTTTCGTGTTGTTCTCCATCTCCGTTGAGTGTTCAAAGTACACGTACGAGGTGGTTTTTGCAATCAGAGAACCATCTGTCTCGATTTGCTTACCTTTACACCACGGATTTGTTATGATCTGGGTTTTTGTCTTATTTATGCATAGTCCAAACTTTTTTACCGTTTCGTTGAGTTTATTGAACATCATCTCTGCTTCACTGAAACTCGTTGAAAAGATGACGATGTCGCCCGTGAGGCGAAGATTTGATAGGAATTTTCCATCAATGCGTACGTTCTTTTCTTGCCAATCAAGTGACTTCATTATCAGTTGTAATGCGGTAGCGATGGCAATATGGTGTCGTCTTGTCGAACCGCTATTCATGTGGATATGATAATATAACTTCAATAATGCTGAGATATTTGCAAAACTCCGGACAGCACGTGTATGCGGTGGGGAACGAACGCGCTATTGTCCTTTCCGGGGAGTAGCGCGTTCACCACCACACCATGTGGGTCCTTCGTTTCGCCTGTCTCTCAGCTAGTTCTATGATATGATAATAGTTCGATGGAACAGCTGCACTCCCGATAATAGTTAGGTAGTGTTCATATAGATAACGGGTGCAATCCCTGGTGGACGAGATTCGATGGACAGATGGTACTCCCGACAGAATTTTTGACCAGTAATACGATTTGGGTGCGGTCAACCCGCTTCCTGAACTGGTTGTGCCTCATCCAAGTTCTTCGATATGCACAGAAGGGTAATCTTCGGTAACAACTTGTGGCGTTCAGTCAGCAAATATGGTAGACAGTAGTAATAAAGATCCCTTCAGTAACCTTTCTTGGGCAGGATTCACGAGCGCGGTGCTGGCTCGGTCCCGCTTCCGGCTCACCAAGCCTATCATCCCTCCAGGGTGGGGAAATTAATACAAGACTTGAGGAAAAATTACTCTCTCAAATCCAATTGGGAGCGCTCTACCCCAGCTATTTCAGGACTCCAGCGATAATCGACTAGACCAGCATTCTACGACATTCAAGATGAAACAAGATGAAATTAAAATCCTCGAACAGCAGCCGCAGCCACAGGTAAGAGTTGGAAGGCCTTTGGGGATGATGGATGCGCGAAAACCAATTGATTGTGAGAAGTAATCCACACAGCAGATGTGAAGACAGGTTGTATAAAATAAAATAATAAAACAATATAAGAGACGAGCATACTTGACTGGTTTCGTTTTTCTTGAGCGACAGGAGTACTTTTCCAGCCTACAGCTGAATCGAATTCTCGGAAGGAGAAGGCGATAATCGGATCCACTGCAAAATCCAGACACCACTGAGATGTTTAGGAGGCACTATTCTGTGTTCACGTGGTCGATTTCCGCTTGAGTCGCGTTGTTCAGATACCGACATTTTCATCGGCGACCTCCTCTCTTCTCGAAAAATGAATTCCCATGGAAGAGAATTGCTGTAGGTAGGAGTCCAGACTTCGACTACAAGAGAACTACGGCAGAGAACTACAAGACGATTTACACTCTCAATTCTATCTCCATTTCCGAATTTTCCTACCGTCTATTCGTTTTAATTAGCCGCTCTTAATCTAGCATTAATGTCTCCAAAAATGAATTTATGGACGAATTTTTCATTGCGGATTACTACTACTTCATTTAGTTGTTTGTGGAACGTGTCCAACTCGATCTCATTAACTGTAAAAGATAATGAGTTGCAACTGATGAAAACGACATTCTTTTAACTCGGAATTTGGGGACGAAGAATGGCCAGAAGCTGTGAAAGTATTTCGTGTGAGGTAACTCTAATGGGTGTATTGCTATGCCAACGTTGTCGACATTTCGTAGAGGAAATTCCCCTCCACGAATGATCAACTATTTGGAGTGTTTTAGTTTTCATACTTTGCGTATGTTGTAGAGGGGTCTCTTGTAGGTCTCACGTGGAATTTGATGCAACCAGTGGCCTCGAGAAGAGCGCAGATAAAGCGCCTGAAGAAATTGTACTGGTGTTATAGGATCAAGATAAGAAGAAGTCTCCATGGCGTGCGTTTCGTAAGCGTATTCGTTTTGGCGGGTTCCCATGACGTTCTGTGAAATCGATAATTTCGTCACCCTTCACAGGCGTTCGATGTCGTAGACTGGAGAGCCTAGTATGTGGAGTATTGTGGCTGGGATCTTGCTGACTGAGTCATTGTGGTTCCCAGTAAACCCGAGTCGTAGCCGGAGCCTCTCTCAGGTTGTTACCATCCCAGGCAGTACGTGGCTGTTGCGAATCAGAGGGTGATTTACCATTTCGCAAGTAGTCCGATATTAGGACGGCAATGAGTTTCGTCTTGTGAGTTTTAGCAATTACTGTACTGTCCTCTATTCAGTACTCTGTAAATCGCTTTTCTGCATTTTTTGCTGTGAAAAGGAATCTTACGAGAAGGTGATGTTCCAGTCTTTTGTAAGATTTTGGACAACTTCCGCTACAAAAATTCTCGATTATTAGTCTGTTTTATTATGGTACTCTTCAGTAGGAGCCTTCTATGTCCAACGTTCGGAAATGGGCTTCTGGATTTATGAGTTACCATGAATGGTTTTCACCATATTGACATGCTCAACAGTGGCTATCAAGGTTTGTTCAATTTCATTATCCAAGTTTGAGGTTTGTTGTGGTTGTAACACTTCCGTAGGTCCAATTTAGCAGAAACAACCCACATAACCATCAAGTGCTATCTTTTCTCTATAGAACAATGTAGAACGTTTTGGTACGGTCTTCGTTTTTCTTCATCATGGCTTGGTATTGGCGCATGAACGACAAAAAATGTCAAAGTCGGTATTCCTCTAGGTCTGTTAAACTTTGAGCGTCTGAATTCGGTCGTTAGTTGTTTAAAAGAATCGATGTTGATGGGCAAATTCGTCTAAAACACAGCACCAAAGCCAACTCTGGTGTCTCATATTTCGAACAACAGCTCTTTTCCGGTATCACAAATTAAGTGGCGTCTTCTCGTTCAAACCAATCCGATGACGTCGTATTTACTGGTCTTAGCCTGAATCATAAGCCTTCATTGGAGGATTTAGAGGTTAGTATGCGTGCGTTATAGGTAATCAACCATAATCAAGGTAAGGTCACCTTAGTTACTACACATGTATGCAGCCTACAACGGTCCTGACATACTCACTCAGTCTCTCCAAGAGCAGGTGCGGAGATTGGTTTGGTGGAGGCGACTCCTAACCACCTTCCATGAAGTCTTCAGTCAATTGATTGCAGGTGTATGTCCGAATTGATTTGTACACTACAATCTGCAAATACGCGAACACACTCACACAAGCATGCACTAATATCTAAAGTGCAGAAAGGTAGACGTCAAATTAGCGCAGCAGAGGCAGCAGGTCTATCCCAAAAATTCACCTGTGGCTCGGAGCACATAGTCGCTTTTGGTCCTTTTTCTGATCCCTTTCGATTGGCGGGTGTGATCTGTGTTTCAGCTTAATCAAGACAGTCTGCTTAGCGTCATTGGGAATTCTACACAGTCAACTTTTAATCGTACATTACAATCCAATCAAGAAACGGTTCACTTCTATAAAGAAAAAAGAAACAAAGCACGATTCATCACGACGAATTCCGAGGTTTCATGTGGAAACAATTTGGGAGTTTTCGTTTTTTTGATTTTTCGACTCAGTTAGTTTGTTTCAAATTTGTTGTTTATCTTGTACAACGTTTTTCGAGATTTCGAACTGTGTGCACCTACTTCAGCTAACGTCCTCGCATGGAAGCGGATTTTTGTCGACTACACTCGTCTTCATGGCTCTTGTCTTCGTTATGAAAACTTCGAAATCAGCGTTTTATCACACGGTCGCTAACAGCTCTATGACCAACGCACTATATAATCTTACGTGTAGAAAAGAAGTTTGATGAGAAATCGGAAGCGGTCGTTATCAGGGGATCTTGCAAAAGCGCCGACATATCCACAGTTTTTGGTTCTAATTGCAAAGCCCATGTGTTGGGGGCGTTGTCCTGGCTTTTTGTTCCCGCACCGATGCCTCGGCGCCTTCAAGTGCGGTTTTCCTCCACGATGGTAACAGCTGACTCTTTTAGTCTGCTCGAGTATAATCCCAACAGCATTCAGTGACCGTGTTTCGGGTGCGGACCAGTTTATTTCGTATATCTGCCGTATTCGATTTTCCGCTTTTCATTCCGATTCATGCCAAGGCAACTTTTTGGCGGTGTTTTTGCAACGTTTAGACAGCTTCTGATGGCGAGGATGGCTATGTTGCATATTTAGGACTAAAGTGTGAGACTCATCTTGTCACTGTACTTTTTCAAGCATTCGCTTTCCCTATTGGTCCGTACTTCTCGTTCGTCCCTCGCCTTTGAAGTCTATGGGACAAAAATATCTGAAATGAACGTTATGAGCACGAATGGATATGTTGATGCATCGGTTATTGAATTTTTCCATCACTTGGGAATATACTGTATAAATTTACTAAGTTTTCTCATTAGAAAGTGCCCATGTCGTTGTGACAGTTGCTACGATATATACTGTGCGTGTTTTGTTCTTTGTATGTGCCATGGAGAGAATGAGAAACAGGAGGAAAAGAAGAAAGTTGTAGGAGAAAGCAAAGTTGTAATGAAGAGGGAGAGAGGAAGGAAGAAAGAAAGATAGAAAGGGTATCTACCTAGTACTAGATTCTGCACTTTTTTTTTCGAAAGCTTTCATTCGACGGAAAAAAATGAGATTTGAGAAGTCTCTCTGTGAGAGATTTCCCAAATCTCATTTCTTTTTTACTACGCGAAAGTCTTCGAGAACAAAAACTTTAGGATCTAGCACCTGACAGCGTGACATATTCAATCAATATTGATTTAGAGACGAGGATAAGAAGTATGAAAAAATTCTATGGTTATGAATACTCTGGCACTGACGACGACTGGTGAGATGAAGAGTTAAAGTGTTTTGTTGTGATTTTTTGATCTAGCCCAGAGAACTTCTGTCTTCTACAACCTCTCTTGCAGTTTCCGTATTTTACATAAACTTCTGTAAGCTTTGTGATTTCCGAATGTTTTTTCCTGAGGGAGAGCTGCAGTAACAGCAAATCCACATACTTGGTTGACCCGCAGACGCATGTTACACTTTAACGCAATGTGGGAGGGTGTGTGTGTGATTGACCAACGTGGGATTCTCTTCCTTCACAGGGCTAGAGAAAGATAGATCTTCTAACAACAATCCTCATTTCAATAAACTTCATATCTGTGTATGTTGACGCTTCAAACTCTTACTGGATAGAAATGAAAGTATAAAGCTCTCGGCGTTGATCAATCCCTGAAGGATACGCCGTCCATTCTACTTCATTAAGCGTCATTGGAGGTGGCTGAATGCACATCTGGGCTTTACAATGACTCACGGTGACCTACCGATGTATCTGTATGATGATGCAGTGCTGCTATCCTCTCAAACAAGTCTGGTACCAATTTGCCGACCCCGGAGGGATGGAAAGCCTGGTAGACCATGGGCGCGGTGATCGATTCCACGTGTGTGTCGGCAGTGGCGCCTCCAATCACTGCGTCACACGCGTCCTCTCTTATTAGATATTTAAAGAAATCTCAGGTTTTGGTGACGTAATTTGAAAATCTTTTGTATTGGGTTATCAATTGACTTCTTTCTTTGAGTTCTTGTATCACATGATATCCTCAGAGATGTGGTAGTATCGTTTTCAACCTATTACGATCGTTAGGATAGAAACTAGAGAGGAACCACTAAGCAGTTATACGTAAAGTTGTTGTTTCGCTCCTACAAGGACAGAAGTTCACAAAACTATGTTGGTTTAGCCCCAGTAAGTTTAGCCTTCATCACAAATCCTGACCTCCACTCTCAACAGTTTTATGAGGCGCACATTGTGCATGTGTTTGTCACTATATAAAAAGTAAAAGGATGACTTTCGAATGAGAAGCGTGCACGAGTGTAGTCAGCGAGTTACCCTGCTTGCAACGTTGGTTGAATCGTTCACGTGCAAACGAGATTTCTACGGAAAACGAAGTGTTGATGAAGTGCGTGCTTTCTGTACGACAACAACAGCTGATCATCTCACTGATTTCGTACGTCAGTGCGCGTTGTACTAAAGCGATTCATCCCCCAGTAATTTCAGCCAAACTGAGGAGTTCGACCCTACCATCCCTAGCCCAACTAGGAGCATGACATTACCATAAATCTTCATCATCCTGAAAGAAACAATGCCTTAAGACGGTAAACTTCACTGTGTTCCATAAAAGTCGACGGAAGGGGTTTGTGGAGATAACAAATAAGCGCCTTTATGCGGTCGTCGAGATTCTAGAAAGAAGTACTACGCGCTGAACAAATTGCCAGACAAATAGAAATCCTTTGGAATGACGGGCTACCTAAGTGCCTAAATAGACATATTTCATTTTTATCGCTAGATACCAAGAGTTTTATTCACTAATCCTGTTAGACAGCGCTTTTTCAAAAGAAATGAAATCTATTGGTAACCGCACATTGGATAGGCGATGCTGAAATCTCCATGCTAACCACTCATCACTAAGGGAAACGAAAAACAAAACTGGATCAGGCTGAACAGACAAAATCTAAGAAAATATTACATTGCAATTGTTAGCAGAAGTAAATAATGTGGCTTTTTCCAGAGCTTTTAGTGGACATCACAACATTAAAAAGACTCTTGAGTCCAGCAGTTTATCCATTTCGTGGGCAGAGCTGCTCAATTCCGATTAAAATTGAACCAGTTTTGACGCCTACACATCCTTGATCAATAAATAGTTTGCTCTCAAGTAGAGGTTATATTTTTGAGTTTAGATGGATAAGTTATTCATTTTCTCCATTTTAGTACTCAGAAGGCGTGTGGTGCAGTGCTAGTGAACCCATTTACTGCGGGATAGTTCATCCTTCGTGGGCGCTAGCTCCACCAAGCCTCATACCCACTGAAGCTCTTTCCTCCAGGATCAGAAAATTAATAAAGAATTCTCTGCATATGATGTAGAGTCATCTTGAAAAATTTGACGGGTAGATCGCCTGTGGCACTCCTTGTCCACCTATAACAACGTGAAATGTCGCACTTTCGAGCACGGGGGACCATGTTGGAGAAGGAAGAGTGTGCCACTGCTGTGTCTCGTAGTTGAGTTTGACACCTAAGAACGGAAACAAGCTGCCCAAAATTTCTTCCAAAAGTTACTGAATGTGTTTGTTTTAGAATTTGTAACATTGGTCCTACAGTGTAGTCATCTACTTTCATATGTCTCATTTATTAAAAGATAAAAAGATAAAGCGATCACCGTTGAGGGCTGGTCAATCCCTTAGGGATGTGCCATGCATTCGAATTCATCAAACATCATTAGAAGTGATTGGATGGATTTATCTTCTCAGACAAAGCTGGTGCTGATATGACGACCTCGGAGGAATGGAAGGCCCGTTGAGCTTACGACGCGGAATCAAATCTGCGACCAGAGACGCATTGCGGGGCACCTCTATCAACTACTCCACACGCGCCCTGTGCTCCACTTATTAGAAACGTTAACCCAAGGCAAAGGTTATCATTGCTTCTTAATCTCTGTACCTGTTCATTGTCTCTGCATGCACAGTCTTGTAGTTTGGTTACCACAGAAGTTCATTTGGATTACTCTGCACGATCAAAGTTGGTACTTTTTCCCAGCAGCAATTTTTCGATGCTCTATCAGATGGAAAGAACTAGACAGAGGAAAGCCTGCGTAACTTGAACGCTGCGTCAAAGACATAACAAGCATTGTTTTTAGTGGAGCAATTTCAGAAAGATGGTGAGTTCTCGCAAGCAGTCAATCGTTGAGGCTGCCGAGCAGCACTTCGACAAGAACACAATAATTCTTATAGTGAACCTAATAATTCTTACTGTGCTCATGGGATTACTGTATATGGTTGCTACTTCTGCAATGGCCGCCGGTGCAAAGGATGAACATTGATTAGGTAAGCTATCACAGTATTTCTATTCTAGGGTAATAAAATCGGTGAAATGTATCCCCGCTGTGCCACTTATGATCTCGTAAGTTATCAAGTGATTCGAACGTGCACTAATTAACATTTCCGCTAAGGAACCCTATGGGTTGCGCTCGCTCGAAGGACGGGAGGTCCACCACAGTCCATGTATATCCGAATTCTACCCAATATCGCTCTCATTCGTTTTCTGGAATGTGGCTTTTGTTGAATGGAATCAAACACGACCAAAAACCCAGTCCAAGAAACTCCCATGAACTTATGGACGGATAGAATTACGTGTATAGAAACGTCTGTTGCTACATGAACCAGTATGTTAGAACAAAGGCAACGAACCCATTATCTAGGTTTACTTGACCATCTAAGGAATACCTGGGTGAGAAATGCAATGTGTTCATCGAAACACTTCAACGTTACTCCTATTTTGCCGCAGAATGTTAGTTGAAAACAAACCCTTCAATTGTTAAGCTTACTTCCTTTTATCATGTAGGATTCCTTCGCCCTACATCTTTGCCTCTAGAAACCCAGGAACCTCAAGCGGCGATCCTCACATAACTACGGCAATACGTGCATCTTAGTATTTATTCCATGAAGTATACTTCAGTGCTTGTGGACCTTCGTGACAGCTCATTGAGCTTTCTTCGATCATGCTGGTTCATCAATGAAGGTGAACTTGTTCTTCCCGTGTTCCACACAGTTTCACGAATCAATCGCGGCCTGCAGGCGAGCAGTCGTGTTTCATGCGTGTTTGAATACTTGTGGAGCACATGACGCAGGATAAATCGTTCATGTGATAGCCCCTGCCGACACGGAGCTCACGGCATGTGCTCGCAGTGCGCCGAGGTTTCCAGTTCTTGGTGAACGAAACATCAAGGCAAGTGCAGGTTGTGCTACTACGCACAGAATAATCAAGGTCATTGAGCAAGGAACTTAAAGTCCCTTAGTTTTCTACCAGGATGAGAAACGCAGAAATGCGCAATTACCTACAAAGCCTTTAGCAATTTTTTGTGAAATCGGCTTGTTGCTCCTTATAACACATCGCTTCGTAGCTTTTCAAGCACTTACTTAAATTAGTTAATTTCCCTGAAGAGAAGAGGAAGCTTTGGAATTTTGAAATCTGGTGTGCCTGAAAACGGAGGTATTTTTTTCTTTTTGAAGTTTTATTTTGAAATTAAGTGGCGAAAGCCATGGTCAAAGCACTGGTTATGTATTCTCGTTGCGAACATGATGGTGAATATATATGATAAGTGGAGAACCTCATCATTGATATGGCATACTGTAGACAATGACAACCTATAGCTGTATAGCCTGTACAGTGGGCACAATGTTTTCCAAGATGTTCGCGGCTGGCAGTTTGTCGAACTACCTTACCACTGCGGATAATAGTTCGCAAATTGCTTCTGTAGATAATAATAATTTTTTGGTATGGTATCTGACTTCCGCACTGGTTTAGAGAAGTTCCTACGGATCAATTGTATTTGTTCACCAACGTCTGGATGGTATCATTCCATAGATGACTAAATTTTTACGTAACTGAGGATTGGTCGTGGGTTTCGTGAATAGTGCGGTCGTTGGCTATAATCTACTATCTTTCTTGTTTGGAAATTTCTCTACAGGAGTTGCACGTCTATTAATAGTACAGTGGAATGATTAAATGTTATTTTTCAATACTTGATATTTTAAATAGTCACGCCACTCGACCAAGCGCTGAGGTACTCAGAAGACAGACAGTCATTAAGTTCATCATGACCTTGCTGGTTAGCTGAAGGTTTCGAAGTAGTCATGTGGAGCAGGCAATAATATTGCTGGTGTAGAAGCCTGCAGTGTGAGACTAATACAATGTTAGAGCTATAAAATCCAGCTTTTTTTAAAAGATCCCAGCACTTCTCATCTTCTATTCGTTTCCTCGCTTACATTGTCTCCGAGGATTTTCTAACATTTAGGTATCGCTTTGGTTGGTGCTTGTGGATTTTCATTTCGTCTTGAATGGTATAGAATGCTAGTCGAGCAATTCTTCCTGGAGTCCTGAAATAGCCGGGCTGGAGCGTTCCCAATGTTTGCAGAGTGTGATTTTTTCCTAAACAAGTCCGGTACCAATTTCGCCGACTCTGGAGGGATGGGAGGGTTGGTTGACCAGAGCGGAATCGAACTAGCACCATGCTCGCGATGATGGACATCACTAGCACTATGCTATCCACCCCAACATCCAGCTTAGTATGGTTAAAACACACTCTCGTATTCAACCTGTAGGATTTGAATTGCTAGTACATCTCGTAATAATTTGAAAGATCGACTTCCTGTAAACCTCGGCATAATAATCGATATATTTTGTATATGTTCTTAAGAACCACCATTTTTACCTGACGCGAGGCTGCTTTATGGTAGATGTTCTTATTGTTGTTGTTGTCTCTGTTCAATGGCTGAGGTTTCGGCGATTTCGCCTTCCTGAAGGCCTTGCCGTTGGACCACTCATGTGTTGTTCACGGGGGATGATTTGCTAATGATCAAAGTGCGCCCTAATGCACCCGAATCAACGATAAAACAGATGGCTCACAGAACTAACGTTTTTAGTAATACTGCAGTATTACATGGGCAATCTTCATAAGTCATAATATTTATAGCATATTTGCTATTAGTGTCTTTCCTTTAGTATCATCGTCTAAGGTGGTTTGGAGCATGGTGACTACTGTATGCATCATAAAACATTTCATAGCCCAATTGGAGCTGGTTATATTCGCCCATGTTGTAGATGGTCGGTCGCCAGGACGCTTGCATTCTCTTAATGTATATCCTGCTTTGCCTGTTGTTTGGCTGCTCCCTCATTACGCTTATGATCCGACCCATTCTAGCAATAAAAATTACAAACAATAGCTCGACCAAAAGGGACTCTAGTTTTTCTTTACATTCTTGGCTGCCAGGACTATGAAAACGCTTGGCAAGAAGAGATTTCCGTGAAGTGGTTACTTATGCACACCTTTGTTACCCTTTTGCTGTACATTTATCCGCAATGAGAACATCATCGAGAAAGAAGATGAAAGGCATGAAAGGCAGGCAAAAGGCAACTGTTGCATGGTTCGTGCACCTCGCTGCGAAATCTCTTAGCAGATTGGAAGGTAGGAATATATGGCTAGCTTACCCGACATAGCATTGAATGAAAAAGAAGAGGCGAGATGTAGTATGGGAGACTTACAGTCACTGCTCTTGTAAATCTTCCCATACTTTTGCAAAGCATTCATAGCCCACTTCTACATTACTGCAATACGATTATTACTAAACAAGTAACATTAGGTCGATACTTTAAGGGGATTCATTAGCGCTGGCATAAATTCTTCAAGAAGATGGTTTTTACAAGGTGTATTTATTTCATAGTTGTATTCATCGGAAAATGTTTTTTTAACCTCTAGTACAGGAAAATGTAGTGAAACAGTCTTTGAACGATAGGTTGAACTGAGTTCTGAAGAGTGATCGCCAAGTCTGGTCGATGGAAAGGTTGCATGCTTCCACATCTCCCGTCTTGGCATCATTTTTCTTTTTCGTGCGCCTCACTCATCCTCAACACTCATTATGTATATTGGTTATTGTTCCTCTACTGTGTCACAATTCATCATTATCCCTACTACGCTCATAGCGTTGACAATTGTTAAAACTACGTTCTTGCATGTATGTCAGAAAAAGTCGACTATTCTCTAAACACATCGTACTACGAAATAGGAAATAATTCAATGGCATTCTGCATTTATTTCAAAACCTTTGTTTGCAAATCTAAAGCGAATTCGTGAGCCATATCCTGTACACCGTCGAATTCTCAGCGGGCTTCATGGTACTTGGGCTGACGCCTACACATGTACTCCACCTGCCTGTGTTATATCTACGTAAAACCTTGCGTAACCATCGTAAGGATTTCCGCATCAGATTTCCATAACCACAGCGTTGCTTCATTTCCGCTTTGTCCATATAATCATATTGTTGGCTAACCTGGTCAGGGGACGGTCGTTCAAGGAGCGCTGTTAAAAGTCATAAAAAGAAAAAGGCTGTCGGCGTTGATCAACCCCTGAGGGATGCGCCGTGCACTCGACTTCATTAACTATCGTTGGAGGTGACCAAATGCATATCTGGCCTTTACAACGACTCGTGATGGCCTGCCGATGTATCGAGCTAGTGCTGCAATCCTCCCAGACAAGTCTGGTACAAATTTACTGAGCTCGGTGTGATGGAGAGGTGGATGAGCCCTGGTGAGTGATTGATCGAACGACCACACATCTACTACTGCGCACCTCTAACCACTTTGCTACACGTGCCCTTTACGATACACGCGGTATAGAGTTGGGGTGCGTTTACTCAAAGCTAAAAGACCAAAATCTTTCTTCAATCATGTGTAAGCCACATATGGTCGCTAATATATCAATGAAGAAAAGGCAAGTAAACAGTTGTGGCCGAAAATGAGCAGTTGTAGCCGTGAAAACGAACTCAACACGTTACGAACACTTGGGTGGACTGTCGCTTGCCAATTGCTAGAAAAATGGTATAATAGGCAACAGTGATTTTTTTTTTGTTCGCTACTGTTTCGTACTAAAGTTGGGTTCCCCACATTAAGAAGACTGGACGGGAATCCGCTGCTGCAAACGTCGTCTCTTTGCATGAAATATCTGATCCATCTGATCCTTGCATTGGCCTTCTCGGTAGATAACGTTCCTCAGTTTCGGTCCTTGAATTGCGTCGGTGCTTCGAATAGTTCTTTAGCCTTTTTAGAACCTAGCATCTCATTTGCATATGTTATGTCAAGACGTCCACGAAATGCAATTCGTAATTCGTTTTTTCTCCGGAACATGAAGATCTTGGTCCTAGTTGGTAGCCCATATGTGCCCAGTGAATGAACAGCTTTCCTCTGAAGCCGCTATTGAATACGCTTGCGACAAGTTTATTTAATTTATCTATGATAACCACTCGGAAAATTTCGTAAACTCGTGCACTTCGAGGTTAAGCCCGTTGATTAGAGATTTTTCTAAAGAAAGCGCAATGACCTGTCATTTTTGTGAGCCGTCCCTTATTTCAGTAACTGGTCTCGAAAAAAACCTCGTGGATCACCAACGTTTCTAAACTCTTAGTATATATTGAGAACCATTCCAGTGAACTCATAGTTTGCTCAACAAGCAGAGACTGTTTCCACAGCCCTTCTTGAATGTTGCTCATCAACTTTCCTTCGCCTTTTAGTGGCACATCGTTGAATTAAGCAGCTAACAACTCGACTGTATGGTTTATTGTCGTTTTGAAGAACAAGTCCCAAACCCTCTTCATCAAAAAAAGTCCATCAGCCATCCAAATCGGGGACATCACTCATGCAAAATCATTTCCTTTGAAGCGGGAAATTCGGATTAGAGCTGTGTCATGAGCAACATCACATTTGCAGACAGCAGAGGTCACGGGAAACGCTTTTATTGACACAACCCTGGTCCCATAAGACTGAGAATCCAGTTTTAAATACTAAAAAATTACAAAGTAAACAGTGATCCTAAGAGATGAAATCAAGACCAGCGAAGTAAAGTACTTATTGATAATCAGTGACAAGCAATTCATTTTGGAAGGAATAGTACAGATACTTTGCGAATTTGGGGTCAGTACGAATTTGGTTAGTATTGCAGTCAGCCACATTATCTTAAAGAACAAGTTTTGTGAGGGGCAACTTCACGAAATTACTGACCACGTGAGACACACTTTCCAGAACATAAAAAACTTATTCTTTAACTCTTCAACGATACATTTTACTACCCTATGTTGTCGGTACTTGGGACTTCGTCTTAACTTCTCTTACGTTCCTGTAATTACCACAAATTTCTTGACAGTAGGTAAACTGCCCATACATTTTTTTTCTCATAAAAAGGGGTACGATTGTGGATGCTAACATTTAAACTGTATCCAACATCACATTGTTTTCGAACTATAGGATAATGGACGTACTACCGTTATACACGAAACTGATCCCATTACCTTAAATATGTAGGTGGCCTGTTCTCAGATGTTGTTCAACCCATATCACGTCTTCTATTCGATTTATTGTCGTGGAACCGTTGTGGAGGTAGTCAGGTTCATATTTGGGTTAGACTGCACCTTGAAGATCTGTCTATTTTCCTTTTTGAGATATTCAGTGGTGAATAAGTTATGCCTTCCTAGTACCTCGAGTTAACCACCCTGCAAACGATAACTGACGGTCCTCAGGTTTTCACAGGCATCGCGAACTTCCATAGATTAGAGTTTTCCATCTTACAATTAGGTAGCCAGCAAATCGAGATCGATTTAACAAATCAAATCAAGTTGGCGTTACTTGCTAAAGTAGATGCTTAGTTACTTGTAACTGATGTTGGTGTCAGGAAATCAAGAAATGCAGGCATAAAGCGCATCTTTTAACATTGCTACTGCAAAAAAGTAGATTTCGATATTTCTTATAAATGCATTATCAAGAATATCCAATATAGTCGGAGGCGCCCTGCAATACATATTGATCGATCCTCGCTACCCAGGCCCACCAAGCCCTCATCGTTGCGGGGTCGGTAAATTGGTACAAAATCTCCCTGGGAGGATAGCAGCACTAGGTCGATGGAAGATATCCAACGATGTTTATGAAGTAGAATGCATGGCGCGTCTCTCAGGGATCAAGGCCGAGAGCTTCATTTTTTCTAATTATCCAGTAGCCTTCTCCAATGGTCTATCGCTTATTGCAACTGCTCGGCGCTCCTCTCTGTCGAACTACGGTGTATAGCGGAAGGTTAACCATCCCAGTACGGCCCCCAAATCTAAGAAGTTCGACACACATCCAAGATGAATTATGCATGATTACCCTCTTGCCAAGAAGAGTTTAAAAAAGTACCACACGAAAACTGTCAGATTCTTTTTGAATAAAAAATGTTTACTGTGCGAGCATATCTACTCGATAATTAAAGGGACCACAAGTTGTACCAAACACGAAAGGGCGGAAATTTTCATGGGCCTGTATAGACAACTATTACGCTATGCTCGTGGATTACGCATCAGTGCAGTGGACTGTCTTTTTTCGAACGTGTTAGAACCAGTCATCACAAGATTTTGTTCTCCAGATGGAAAAAGATACAGTGCACATTGTAGAAGATAGAACAAGGAACACTCCATATTTTATCAGAACAATAGCCTAGGAATGAAGTGGGACATTCATGCGAAGAACTCCAATAGTTTAGATGAATGATACAAACAATGCAATTGGTAGACAGGAATTATGAGAAGTACCTGATTTCAAATTAACTAGTGATTCGATTTCAGGGCACACAATCCAATTTTCATCGCTCATCTTGCACATTTCCAACTTGTCCACTCAAAAGCAGCGTGCCTTTCACTGGCACGATTTGATTTTCTTCCCCTCCACATACAACACATTTTGTCAAGTCTGTAGGCGCTCGTGATGTGACACACCAGTAACAGGCGACGTGGCCACACCTGGTGGAACGCACTGGTGTCACTGCAATACCACCGCAGTGACCGCAGCGCAACGCCACCCCGCCCGCTTCCGCTTCTGCCCGTCTCGGACCGGCCAGTTTAGCGGAAACCGCTACGTAGACCGGCCAGACTAGCAACAATGCGTCACGAAACGTGTGCCACAATAGCTCCCTGTTCTGCGATTCGTAGTTCACTGCACCTGCAACGATTTTGTTCCCTTTCATTTCAGATCGTATTGTATGTAGTTGAGGCGCTAGAATATAGAGATTGCTATATGATTCTAACTTGTACTTCCATATTATAGTGGTGAAAATTTCGTAAACTAAGAGTTTGGTCAATTCAATTGTTCAACTATGTTTACATGGAAATAAAGAAACCTGTGCGAAATTACTATTGCATTACATATACAACTTAAAGTATCTTACTTGTTTCAGCCAATATGAGATCATTTTCGAGTGATAATTGTACATATTTGTACTAGATGTCAACTTAATTATCATAGCTCAAAAACGGAGTACTGAACAGTATTGGTCTTTATTATACTTGCTGCGCAAAGGCCCTGAAGAAAGCAAGCAATAACTGAGCGCAATTTTTACAATCAAAGAATAAGTGCGAAAATTAAGAACATCCACAAACCAATAGTCGGATTCCTGGCATTCCAGTTCCGTAAACCTAGAAGAGACTCGACGACCGTACTGTGACCACCAACACAGAGGAAGTTTAGATAATGAAGAATACAAATTGTCTGAAAAATTAGGGTCAAATATGTCATGAAGCAGCAAATTCACTCCGTGCAAGATAATCTTAACTGAATTTATCATCGCCTTAATTATTAGAGCTAAAGATGACTTTTATTCAAACTAGTTACCAATCATAACCTTACTACAAGAGAGATCTTGTAGTTGTTTACCAAATGTACCAAGTTTCTATCACCTTCCACAAGAACTGTGTAGGAGACCTTCAATCCTCACATTTCCTGTCAAAATTTTCAAGAAGGACCTAATCTTTGCTTGAATGACATTTCAATGGAAAGATCAATAGACCTTATCAAATCTTATGAATATCCAGAAAGCTTGGAAAATAACATGCCCAAGAAAGCAACATTGTAACAGAAGGTAGTAACTTCTACACATGTAAATTCCTAAATTAGACGTAGTAACCAAATTTTAACGCAGAACTGGAAATGAAAGATAGAATTTATGAGAAGAATTATAAACCTCACTTTTAATATGGCAGAAACCTTCGAGAAAATCCTTGTAGGAAGAGGATGACTGAACAAGGACCAGATTCTTTCCGTGAAATACGGGACAAGCACAGAAAGCAGGAAGTGTAAGTGTATTTTTTTATGGGAGTAATCCTTATACGAGATGCCCACTTCCATTTGACCAGGCGACGCTCCTATAAAAACGTCTGGGTGATACAAAGTAGTATATTAGTAATACGGTAGTTTTGACTGAGTAGCAACCTTTCTTTCAAACACCTTCGGTCTTTTACAAAGTATCTACATAATCTGTTCACAACACCAATCAGGAACTAATACCCTCGCTGAAAACAACAGAGTAAAATAAAGAATTAAAAATTGAAAATACACGGAAAATCTTTGCACAAGCCCATGCTCCGGAATACTGACAATACCGTCAAAGAGTGACGTATGATGTAAGAAGGGCTAACCCCTGCTATAGCTAGTATCAGTTAGAATAAGTTAAAATCGAATTACCTCTGGAAACCCTTGTTGTCCACAGTACAGCATTAAGTAGCACACATATTTCAGGTCTTACTAGATCACAGAGACGTGCAATCGAGATCGGAAGTTCAACGATCAGCTTCTCGAATTGCTGAGATATGAGCTGCCGATACTCGCGATCCAGAATATTTGCATCCACTTGTTCAACACGTAGTGATTCACATGCCATCTGTGACGATTAAAGAATAGATTGCAAAACAAACACAAAGACGAGAAGAAATAAGGTAAACGCCTGGTAGACATGGTTAAAACAGGAACAACTTGTAATTTCCTGCTTCTAACAGCTCAATTTAAGACTGCTACTGATTTACTTCAGAAATGCGGTAAACGTACAACGCTTTAGATGCTGTGTTGCTTAGTTCGTATAGCAGCTGATTCTCTTCCTTCGACCAGCCGCGCGGACTTCTTGTAGGTGACGCAGCTCGCAATCTCAAAGTTAGGTAACTAAACTCTCTATAACAATAATAATACAGCAATAACAATATGCCAATACCGAAACAATACAGGCGAAAATATGGCAATAGCGTCAACAAGTGTGGGTGAGAGAATACGTAACAGGATGGTTAGCAGTGAGACAGTTGCTTTCGCATAAGCTAGTCGCCTAATATTTTGCGCAGGTGTAGTATGAAATACAACAGTAATGGTCTAGAAAGTAGACATATTAGAAGACACTGGTGAGGTTATAGTAACAGTAAAGTGAGGCTAACATAATAGAAGGCGCATGTTGAGTTATAATAATGTTAGCCTCAACTAATAGTACCATGAGGCTAGAATATTATAAGGCACTTATAAAGCTATAATAACTTGCATTGGTGATTCTTAGGAACTTGACAGCGCTGGATGAAAAAGTGATGTTAAAGTAGAGCTAACAATTGGGGTCTGCTTGATGAAATAAAGCGGTAAGACATATGCGATGATTGCAAAGATGCTAACCAAATGAATACGAAGGTGACCCCATGGTCACTTAAATGAATTCTGAAGTAGGAGGCGCTCGGCGTACCCTGCGAGTTTCCCAAAAATTTCACGTCATCGGTCGTGTCAGATAAGGAGGATGGCTGTTGATGTTGCTTAGACAGAAAGCTCTTCACAAAGCGATACAACAGCTTGTCCAGATAAGGTGAGTAAATAGTTCGATCAGTACCCAGGCGATTGGCGTGACGCTACCCATTCTTTAACAGGGTGGAGTAGCCCGCAATGTCTAGCCACCAGGCGATGCTTTGTCCGGTGGTCACGTAAACGCACCAGTGTTGGGAAGCGTGCAGGCCTTGTGTCGAGTAATCACATGCACGAAACCAATGATAAGATGCAAACTCTTCTCTACAAGGTAAAGAACCTCTACATTTGCAGAACACTACATATAGTACTAACGGAGTGCACTGTTTAACATGAAATAGAGGTGTTTTCCTAAACAGGAAGAATGAACGCGTCAAGAACTCTTCCTCGCTTCCCAGTTCCATTAAGAAAATGAATACATAACCGAATCACACATTTCCACCTCAGCAGCGTATCATAACAACGAGTCCTGTTATATTTACTGCTGAGGTCATCAACGAAACACTAGAATTTGGAGGTTAGGATGTACAAATCTCTGGAAACCGTTTTTAAAAAAAAACACACACACAACGTGCAAAAAATAGCAGTTTCCATCCTATCGAGACGGACATTCCTCACCTGAGATAATTTTCTCATATAAGTTAATATGAAGGGGCAATCACTGGCATCAACTAAGCCGCGATAACTGTTTATTGCTCCTAGCAGAATTAACAGCTGATCGAGTGTCAAAGATACAACATGTGAATATGCAACAAGCAGAAGTCAACAATGATTAGCGGTTATAATCTTTGTTATTGAAGTCATCGACGGAGTAGAATGAAGCAGCTACAGATCTGCCTCCAAAAAATCGGCCGTTCATTACAACAAAGGCCTTAATAGCTTGTGCAACATTAGTGAACTCCACAAAAATTCGCACAGCAACATCTTCACTAACACCATCCATCTGCAACAATTCAAATAATTTCGCTAAAAACGTAACCATATGAATAGTGAAGCTAATGAATTAGCTCCAATAAAACACCTTATGAATGATGACAGAGGCTACTTGACCATATTTAGCCATCTCTTCCCGTATTTCAGGCTCAAGCTCATCATCGACCTCATCCGGTCCAACCATGTTCTGAAAAAGTTAGACAACACTTTAAATGCAACGATTTCTTTTTAAGTCCTACCAAATAAATAAGCAATTCTGTGCTATTTCAATAGCGCCTCTAGCGCAGCCGTTAAACGTGTCCTAAAATACACACTGGGTCGGTCTTTACTTCGATCCCCTGCCTCTGGCTCACCAAGCCTTCTGCTCCTTCGTTGCAGCAAATTAATACCGGACTTGTCTGATAGAATAAAACACTGATTTGATACACTGTGTATGCCAGATACATATTCAAGCACATCTACGTTGCTTGATGAAGTCTGCTAAATGGTGCACCTCTATGGGAGTGCCCAATGCTATATCTTTTACGGCTTTTAAAATACTCTCCAGTGAAGTAAGTGGAAACAACATGTTAATTCTTGTCTACTATGCGCAAAATATAGAAAAGACGTTCACAAACCGTAAGCATAAGGACCTTTGTGGATCTTCGCATAGCTTCCGCCATGTTAATTGGAGCAACACCCATAGGAGGAGCTGGTTGAGTAGAAGACGCACCTTGGGTAGAACTATTAGAATACACTAAAGTAAAAGCTAATTAAGCTAAACAAAACCTTGGCTTTCATTAATAATGAGTCCGGCATTCTTCCCTAACTTTTCTACAGATAACGCCGTACTCATCCCTTGTTCATCACGACCTGAAAATAATAATATTTAGAACTCTGCACAAGTTGCCGAGGACGTTTTCTCCTTACCTAAACCTGCTCCGTGTTTATAACCAAATTTACTCATTATATTAGCTGCTACGCCAAGACCCTTTGAAGTGGCTTTGCCAAATGAAGGTAGAAATGCTGGCGGCGGCATAGAACTCGATGTCGACGAATTCACCTCCTATTAGAAACAACAATATCAAACCAACACGACTGAAAATAGTGCTCAAATAATAATGACAACCTTCGGTGGAGAACCCGGTTCAAGAAGCGCCTGTGGTGGAGCAATAGCAGCACCTTTCTGCCTTTTCCTCTCTTCCTCTTTATGATCACGACTTAACCTTAAAAGGTCCCCTATATTTTAAATAAATAATATATTGACATGAGGAAGTTGAGTGATATACTAATACGAACAATGTTGGAAAACGCACATAGGTACCTCACATACAATTTAGAAAAAAACCTAAATTCTAAAGAAAAAATCCAGATCCACATTCCTCTTCACTACAAAAATCCGCCAATTGGCGATATCTTGTTTATACAGTACACGCAAATTCGAGCAAAGCGCTTTATCTTTCATTACTAACTGTGAATGGTGACCTTTGTCCATTGCGCACCCTTTCTAAACTATTTATGTTGGGAAAACTTATGCAACAACTATGCAGATATACAGCAGTAGGATGCTGCAATATAAACAAAATTTGGAACCTCAGCTGAGCTTCGAAACCGCGATTACCCTTCCCGGGGGCTGGCTACGTGTTTCTAGTAAAGACAAAATAAAAAAGTGGCCGAAAGAAAGACAAAGCAATGACTTTGGCTGGTATGGAGGGCAGAACGTGAGAACCTCGTAAAGTTAGTGGTTCGAAGCCAAACTAAGATTCGGAGTTTTGCTCATACTTCAGCAATGCTGCGGCTGTATTTCACATGGTATCTTGCCATGAACGAAGGAATAGGAAGTAAATAGAAAGTTAAGACACTATGAAGATATATTCTACACACCTTTCTGCCACTTCTCTCGCATGCCTTTCACGAGCTTCGCGTTCTTCGGCCTTGCGCTTGAACGCTATGTATTCATTAGGTACTGCTGGTTGATATTCATTTTTTACTATATATTCACCGAATAGGTTGACCTGTAATCAGTACACAACGGAACTCATGTCAAATATTTGGCACGTTTCAAATGTATAACGTCAAGAAACGACTCACACTATCTTCTACGGCTCCCTTCGGTAAAAATGAAGGAGGTGCACAATCCGTTATCGGCAGAGCTCTCACGGGCTGGATTCGGCGCATATTCACTGCGGCTTTGTTGCGAGCAGAAAGGTCGACAACCGGTGCAACACTTGCTCTTTGCTATAAGTTCATGATGCCAAGCACAACGGTAAGGTCTATAGCTAAGACATTACCATTCCTTGCTGGATTTGAACCCTTTTCTGTGCTATTTGTGCTTGTAAGAACTTCATGGTGATATTCGCAGACCCTGAAACATAATGATGGCACCAAATCTTCGAAAAATCAAAAAAATACTGATGGATAAGTAAACCATAAACATCCCAAAAAAGTACTGACAGATCAGTAAGGAGCATCTGCAACAAGGAAATTCTGAATTTATACATATGAATGCATAATACTCGATACGCTTGTATTTTGAAAGAGATATGTTCTTTAATTTAATTATAAACTTTTGAAAAACTTTGGTTATCTATCATTTAATCAAATATACTACTACCACCACTACGTAGTACTGATCCGAGATATAGATGGCGTGGTACTGAAGAACTAGCCTGTAGGATCCGTATTTTGTGCTCAATACCCTTTACTAGTGAATATTGTAGTAATCCTGGTAAAATTAGTCTCTAACTCAACTATTAAAATAAATGGCACCAGTCCCTAGAAATGAAGTTATCCAGAGGTAGTCAAGGTATCGAACACAACGACCTACTAGTTCCTGAATGGGTACTGAATAAACGGCAGCAGGGATACGTATCCCTGAAGCCCAGATCAATACACACCTTCAGAGTAACGAAAGCTATTCATCTCAGAATCGATCAGTTCATAGCAAATAAACAGCGTATTCAACTAAATTGTTCGCGGTCCCACTCACCGTAGCACAGGTGGCTTCATGTGAGGCCATTTATAAGATTTACATGACATATACAATAAACGATGTAATCATTACAGCAAAAAAAAGGTGAGATGTTCCACGAAGGTCTAATTTGCTACCCAATGCATCAACAAAACCAAATATTTGTCTTACTACAGACTACAAGATTGACCTCAAATCACATGCGAAGACATACATGCTCCGCTAAACATGAAGTCACACATTCATTGACGATCTTTTTCAATGACACCTAGAACCATCAACTACCCCCTGCTCAGCTCTATAAGTAAGTAAAATAAAGGATAAAACTTTCGCCGTCGATCAATCACCGAGGGATGCGCCATGCACTCCGCTTCATTAAGCATCGTTTAGAGGTGAACGCATGCATATCTCGCCTTTACAATGACTCGCGGTGGCCTACCAATGTATCGAGCAAGAGCCGCCACCCTCTCAGACAAGTCTGGTACCAATTTGCCGATCCCAGAGGGATGGAAGGCTTGGTGAGCCTGGGGTACCGGATCGATCCCATTTGTATTGTAGGGCACCTCCAACCACTGCTCTACACACGCCTCAGCTCCATACCTTTTCATAATTCATGACGGCTTGAACGTGGTAGATTGCTACAGAATGGCGAAAAAAACAAGCACAGAATGTGATTAATGAAAATGTCTTTGAAATGCGAATACTCACCTTTTCCATGAGGCGGTGAATCCTCGTCATCGTAAAGCGGCATTCCTGGAAATAAAGGAAGGATAGAAACAACCTAGAAACCATAAAAATGGCTCTGCCACCTTGTTAACAACTACTATGACCGAAAACATAATCAGACCAAAAGTTAACAACAAAGCCAAAGCGGATGGAATTTCCACAGGAGTTAAGTAGCTCTCGGTCAGAGTATTGTCAATGGGGCATCTTATACTTACGGCTTGGAGCATTTCCATATCTTCTTCTATGCAGTCAATTTATAAATGTTCGTTCTGCAATACAAAGGGAATATCTAAAATAGGTAGAATGCAGTTCAAGAAGATGGTGAACTCAATAATAGAGTTCTCTTGTATTTCAGCTGAAACACCCTAAGCACTTGCAGTGTAACTATTTTTGTTTTTGAACTAGTTTAAAAATGAGGCAATACTATTGGGAGATTATGTTTGCCCTTAGATAGCAAAACCCCCTACATAAGTCTATCAACTTCTCAACACTTCATGTACTCTAGTTGTCACCGAATTACCAGTACTTGATATTGATACTTGAACGGCCCGTCCTCACTGCTTGTGTGGGCCCCAGCATAATTACCCATTTCTCTGATATTTGCTGGTTAAGCCATTGTGGTTCCCTGGAATCCCGAGGTCAGCCTGGCCAAAGTCTGCCCCAGCTCTTCACCACCACAAGCAGCCGCAGCCCTTGTGGATAAAAGGGAGAGTTGTCACCATGCGACTTTGATACCAGGACGGAGGTGGATCCTGGTATTGGTTTACTCTTATCTAGGCTTCCTGATGGAAACACCGGACTCCTTCTCAGCTTGGGAGAGCCTGCCGGAAGACGAATCCCCGCTGTGCATCACAGCCCAACACCCAGGAAGATCTCCCAGCCACGATAAGGCGGTAAACCGTTGGGGGAGAATTAAGAGTACTTGTCAAAAAATCGGCTTTGGACTCTGAGCTTTTATATCTGCTCAGATGTGAAGAAAAACAGTTTAACATACACACTAATTGATCTTGCTAAACCTGAGAAGGGTTTCAGAGTTCAAAATCTCTGGTTCATTCCCACGCGACCGGACTTCTGTAAGCCGATCTCATTCACTGCCGTTGATCTCTGTGAGCACTTGCACGAGTGTTTGCCACCCTATGTAAACGTCTAGTTCTTTTTTATGAAAGTTATCTTCGAAATATCAGGATGCCTATGGAACCTAAAAAACACGTTTACAATGAGCTGCATGTTAAGAAGATGTTCTTTTCAAGTAGAAATGTCTTACGTAATTTCATTCGCTGAATCTCATCGATGTGAAGTGAGCTTTGTGTTAAGTGTAAAGTCTGACTAGCAGCCGTATAAAAATACACAATAAAGGAGACTGGAGTTTGGGGCATGCCTTCAGTACTATTTTTAGCAATACTATTTTTATTCTTTTTATATGGGACTGCACACTTAGGGTAATTTTGCTGTTGCAGCACATTTCCAATTCCATCTCTGCTTTAGTGACCATGCCCAGGTATACCCTCGATTTAGGCACTAGGCTACAGATTTGTGTGATTAAAGTGACAGTAACTAGAGATAATTATTGAGACCAGCTAAAGCACATTAAATGATCTTGCTAGCTATCCACTTTGTGCGGTCCTAATAATCGATTGGTAAGAGGTGCTCTGAAACAAACACGTGGTCCCTGGTTCGACTCCTTGCCTTGGTGTCACTAAGCCTTCCTTTTCTTCAGGGTGGAAAAATTGGTATAGGACTTCTCTAAGAAGATAGCATCATTAAGTTAACACATTGGCAGGAAGCTCCAAATCATTGTATAGGTCAGATATGCATTAAAACACGTCTACATTGCTTAAAGTCGAATCCATAGCGCACTCCTCAATACTTGATCGACACCGAGTGCTTTGTTCTTTGCCTTTCTTTGCCCATTTTCTGGCCATATCAGTATTCACAGCGTGTGCATGAGTACTACGTGTTTGAACGAATAAAGTTTGAATGCGAAATTCCCTTCTATTCGTTCCTTACCCTGTTGTGTAGATCTGTTTTCATATTCAACGAAGGACTTGCTGAGGAACATGGTGACACGTCTTTTTTTATTCCGGTGTTCGTGTATTGTGAGACGTCCTGTTGCAACGTTGGTCGGTATTTGGTGTTAATTACTATTTGTCTGACGCTAATCTCAACTGAATCTAACCATATGTACCACTTCACTGTGGATAGCTTGGTCATAACACTAGCTTGAACTTCATCTAGGGACCATCCCAAGTGCACGAGCGAGAAGCACTTCATGGTGTTTTTCACGCTGCACAATCGCAATATTTCATGAGTAGTTTGTAGCTGAGGTCTTTAACCAATTTGATTGCGCCGAAGTGCTTTCGTATCGCTCGTACATTGAGAAGACTTCATGTTCTGTCTGAAGAAGCGGCAGGAGCAGTGCTGCTGGATGTTGCCCACATTTAGCGACAATCACCTTTTCCATAAAGAGATATTTTCCCTAAAAAAAACTTCGTTGCTTTATAAGTATCTCGTTTTCTTCCTCAGCAATCGCGAGGTTGTTATTCAGCACACGTTTGTTTCATTACAAAAACAACACATACAACACAACGGTAGCTGACGTTTCGACAGTATCGCCTTCTTAAGAGCTGTTTTTTACCTGCGTTCCACCCAGGAAGAACAGCCGCTTAGAGTCGCATATGGTTTATGACCATTGCTTGATGATGGATTTGTTGCTTTTAGTGGTTTAAAGAGACAACTTCTAGGTGTAGTTACATTTTTGGAAATCTACTGGATTTTCGCTCCTTGTTCGTTGCATAATTTGTTTAATCTCAATCTTTCAGCCTTTAATATTGAAGAGTGCTAGGTGTAATCGCTAATCTCTTAGGAGCGACTGAAGAATGGATAAACTAAGAAGTATCATCGTTTAGCGCGTCTTAAAAATGAGATATGAAAGATATCACCTATTCTCTCATTGATAGCAGAGTAATTCGAGTGAACACTAGCAAACTTTTGATTTATACTTTTCCCATCACATGCTTAAGTTAGAATCCTACACGTTTCGAGGGCATGTAGAATTTTTATTTTAGCATCATTGCGAAAAAGACCCGTCATAAACATGTTCTGTTCCTAGCTCATACGATTTTCGACATTTTGGGGCAAACGCATTGTCTTCGATCTTCTAATATCGACTTAGTTAATTCCAGAAATCCGAAAATGAACCGCAGGGAAGAATGCCTCATTATCACGCGTGATGTAGGGCAGTATATAAGACTGCTATTCTGATGAGTGGGGTACATTATACTTCCATGTGATTTCTGTGCGGTTGGTCTCTACGTGACATACTTAGTGGAGACCTCATAGAAAGCGGTGAGTGTGCAAAGCTGTGTTCAATGTGATTGAAATCTTGGTTTAGAGTTTCTTTGTTTGGTTATGGAGTCGTCTGGCCAAGTAGATTGCTGTCAACTTGACCTTTCCAGGCTCTGAGGAAGGCGAAATCCGCCGAAACGTCAGCTCATTTGTGAATAAAGAATAATAACACCTCGCGTTTGCTCAACAAAAATACGAAGAATTAACTTTGATAATCAGAGTTAGTCAGGAACGCGGATTTCCTCATTCAGTTGCATGATACGGGACACTCCAAGGATCACATTCTCTATTACGCTTTCAACAGCGCGTAGTGATCTTTCA